CCGCTCCATGATCCCCCGTTGTTTGGAGCGACTCGCCAAGAGACTTGGCCTCTGCGGCGGAGATGGACGGTGCTGGGCCCACAGGAAGTGGCGGGGCACCCCCTCATGCTGCATCCCCCCGCTGTGCATCATCTTGTCGGGCCACCATATCCCACATGAAGGGGCGGCCTCCGAAATAACCTTTTTTGCAATTGTCTTTTCCATTGCCGAGAACACCACCTTTGCCTTTTACCCCCGAACGAGCCCTTTTGTTGTCTGAGACTTTGGAACTGCAGCCGTTCCCGAACCAGTAGCCCCCCGAGAGCCCAACGACCATTGACAACGTGGCCAAAAGCAAGAGAAAGCGTCGGAAGAGCACTGGCACAGTGCTTTCAATACTCGGCGCTTGCGCTGTTCTTCTTGAATCCACAACTGGGGCACACCATGCCAGTCGGCCCCCGGCGACTGCCTTGTGTGACCCGTGGCTCCTCAGCACCTTGGAACTTGATCCACGGCGCATACGAGAAAGAGCGGGCAAACACCATCGCATGGCAGATGCAAAACTGTGAAAGCGAGAGTTCCGCAAGCAGAACGTATTGAGGAATGTGCCAATCGGCCAGGCGGGCGGACGCTTGGGAAAGCAATGGGGGCCACAAATCCCCAAGGCCACAATGCCAAGCCCTGAGCAAAACGCTACAGACTTGAGACACATGGCTACGGACCTCCCCCTTCCTCCTCTTCCTCCTCCTCATCCTCCTCCTCCTCTTCCTCCTCCTCCTCCTTCGCCTCCTCATATTCCTATTCCTATTCCTATTCCTCCTCCTCCTCCTCCTCGTCCTCCTCCCCCCTCCTCCTCCTCCTCCTCCTCCTCCTCCTCCTCCTCCTCCTCCTCCTCCTCCTCCGCCTCCTCCTCCTCCTCCTCCTCCCCTCCGCCCTCCTCCTCCTCCTCCTCCCCTCCTCCTCCTCCTCCGCCTCCGCATCCTCCTCTTCCTCCTCCTCTCCGCCTCCTCCTCCTTTCCTCCTCCCTCCTCCACCTCCGCCTCCTTCCCCTCCTCTCTCCTTTTCCTCCCTCCTCCTCCTCCCTCTCCTCCTCATCTCCTCCTCCTCCTCCTCCTCCTCTCCCTCCTCCTCCTCCTCCTCCTCCTCCTCCTCCTCCTCCTCCTCCTCCTCATGATCAACATCATCATCACCATCATCATCATCTTCCTCCTCCCCGTCCTGCTTCTGTTCCTCCTGTTCCTCCTGCTCCTGCTCCTGCTCCTCCTGCCGTTCCCGCTCCCGCTCCGCTTCTCGCTCCGCTCCTGCTCCTGCTCTGCTCTCCTGCTCCTTCCTCCTCCTCCTCCTCCTACCTCCTCCGCTCCTCCTCCTCCTCCTCCTCATCCTCATCGTCCTCCTCCTCGTCCTCCTCCCCTCCTCCTCCTCTCCGTCCTGCTCCTGCTCCTCCTGCTCCTCCTGCTGATCATGTTTCTGCACCTGCACCTGTTCCTGCTCAAGCTCCTGCTCCCCTCCGCCTCCTCCTCCCCCTCCCCTCCCCTCCCCCTCTCCCCCTCCCCTCCTCCTCCTCTCCTCCTCTCCTCCTCCTCCGCCTCCTCATCCTCCTCCTCCTCCTCCTTCCTCCTCCTCCTCCTCTCTCCTCCTCCTCCTCCTCTTCCTCCTCCTCCTGCTCCTCTCCCTCCTCCTCCTCTCCTCCTCCTCCTCTCCCCCCCCCCTCACCACTCACCTCCCCTCCTCGTCTCCTCCTCCTCCTCGTCTTCATTTATTTGATTATGATCCTCCTCCTCCTCTCTCCTCCTCCGCCTCCTCCTCCTCCTTCCTCTGCTCCTCCCTCTCCTCCTCCTCCTCCTCCTCCTCCTCCTCCTCCTCCTCTTCCCCCCTCCTCCTCCTCCCCTTCCTCCTCCTCCTCCTCCTCCTCCTCCTCCTCCTCCTCCTCCTCCTCCTCCCCCTCCTCCTCCTCCTCCTCCTCCTCCTCCTCTCCTCCTCCTCCTCTCGTCCTCCTCACCATCCTATCCGCCTCCTCCTCCTCCTCCTCCTCGTCCTCCTCCTCCTCCTCCTCCTCCTTTTTTCCTCCTCCCCCTTTTTTCTCTCCTCCTCCTCGTGCTCCTCCTCCTCCTCCTCCACGTGTTCCTCCTCCTCCTCCTCGTTCCCTCCTCTCCTCCTCCTCCTCCTCCTCCTCCTCCTCCTCCTCCTCTTCCTCCTCCTCGTCCTCCTCCACCTCCTCCCTGCTCTGCTCCTGCTCTTGCTCCTCTTGCTCCTCCTGCTCCTCCTTCTCCTCCTCCTCCCCCTCCTCTTCCTGCTCCTGCTCCTGCTCCTCCTCCTCCTGTTCCTGCTCCTCCTTCTTCTCCTCCTCCTCCTCCACAATTACTCAATATGAGTACTACTCTCCCTCTTCCCCTGATGGCGTGCTGAGAATATTCGACCCCCCCCCGCGTACTGTTTTTTACACACAGGAGTCCCGGGAGTTGGGTTTTCGCCTGCGTGTTTTTTCAAAATGCTGCTCTCGCTGAGGCGCCGGCCTCATTTCTGCTCCTGAATCGTTCCCGATCGTGCTCCCGCTGCAGCGTGGGCCTCATTTTCGGATCGGTGGTTTGCCTCCGTCGTTCAGGATGGCGTTGTCGCCCCAGCGCGGGCCTCTTTCTCGCGCGCCCATCCGCCCGCCACCACCGCGCCGCACCACGCCCCGCCCCGCCGCACGCACACCCACCGCCACTTCCACCCACCAACGCACGCACGCACGCACGCGCACCACCACCGCGCACCGCCACCACCACCGCACTACCCCACCCACCACCACCACGCTACACCGCGTCACACCACATCACACGCGCGCACACACACGACACACACGCACGCACGCACGCACGCACGCACGCACGCACGCACGCACGCACGCACGCACACGCACGCACACACACACACACACACGCACACACACACACATACACACACACACACGCACACACACACGCACACACACACACCACCACCGCCACCACCACCACCGCCATCACGCACGTACGCACCTGGCCCACCACCAAACCACCAAGACGCCACACCACGTCACACCACAGCACACGCGCACACACGCACACACACACACACACACACATACACACCACCACCACAACAACGACAACCACGCACACACGCACGCACGCACGCGCACCACCACCCACTACGCACACGCGCGCGAAGCCACAGGTCCGCTACGACACGCGTCCGCGGATAGAGAAAATCAGCGCCATGGTAAGGAATGGGAGGCAGGGGTAGAATGTCAGATGTTGACGCGAGCGCACCTAACTTGTCCCATCCCCCTCCTCGTCTCCCTCTGGTTTCTTCCCCAAACGCTTGCGCCATTGCAACACACCGCCCCCTCATGGATAAGCCCACCGAAGCCGAACACTAGACACTCGAAGAACCCCATGAAACAGAGTCCCAGACGCAAATATCCCACCCAAACAATTCCAGTGCTCGACCTTTCCGTTTCCAGGGTTGGTGGCAGCTCGGATTTGCAGGGGTGGGTCCTCTTTTCTCGGGTTCGGAATTTAAACACGAAGGCGTGCTGAACGGCAAGCAGCAGGGGCTCCCCGGCCCTGGCACTGAACTGAGAGTGCGCCTGACGAGGCTGGAGTCGAACTGGACGGGGCCCCGAGCGAGGGGATACCCGCAGCGGAACGGCGGGACCGCTGCTCACCTTCGACCACTGCTGGGGCGAGCCCAACGTGCGGACAGCGCGAATCCACAGGCACGCTCTGCTCCGCTGCGATGTGGTGCAGCGGCCCGGAGAGAACATCGTATTCTGCCTGGGCTGTGGGGCCGTGGTGTCGGGCAAGAAGCCCGGCAGGAGGCATCTCGGCTGCGCGCGCTGGCGCTGGCGATGGGGCTACTGCCCCCCTGGGCCGCCTTCGGGCGGCCGCACCAGCGCCGCTGGCAGGGGCTGCAGCGCGGCGGCACCTCCTGGAGGCCTTCGGCTTCTGCGCAGCGGACGTCGAGGCCGTGCGCGAGCGGTGGAGGCCGTGCGCGAGCGGTGGAGGCCGTGCGCGCGTGAGGCACCCGCCTCGGACGAAGTTGGGCGCAGAGTCGGACGAGGCGATCTGCGAGTGGCGGCGAAGCCGCGCAGGAGGCGCGAGGCACCTTCCTCCTATTGCGCGCTTGGCGTCCTGGCCCTGAGCATCCTGGCGCGTGGCTGCGTGGTCTGCCTGGGCATCCTAGCCCTCATCTGAGGGCTGCCGGCTCGACGGCCACACCTGCTCCTGCTCCTGCTCCCAATCGGGTGGGTCAACAGAAAAGAGTGGTGGCGTGGCCTGCCGAACTCATGTTCCGTCTGCTCGCCGTTATCCGTCCTTCTCCTCGTCCTCCTTGTCCTCCTCCTGCTGGGAGAAGGCGGCGACGGCATTCACGGTTCGCTGCTGGGTCTGCTCAGGTTGGTTCCCCTTCCCCTCCTACTCCTGCATCCCCCTCCTCCGCCTCCGCTTCACGTTCATCATTCCCTTCTTCCGCCTACTCATCCTCCACGCTAGCGACGGTCTTTGTGATTGACTGCTGTCTTATTGAGATCCCACCTTCTTCGATCGTACCCTTGAAGATGGTCCTAAGAGGGCCACCAACTTCCTGCCAAAAACCTCCTCAACATCACTGTCCACCTTCTTGGACGGCAGGAAGTGCAATCCTACTCGGGCGTATGCTCAGGGTGATGCTGACCTTGGCCTCGACGGCCGACTCCCCTGCGTGTTCCACTGGGTTCCCCCAAACGCTTCCCTGATCAGGGCAACTTGCCTCGCGATCGCTTCTGGACGAGCCAGATCAATTTCGAAGCGGCTGTAGCCGCGGCGACGAGAGCACAATGAGAGGCCTGAAAAGGCCCAAGGACATTCAAAGATACCGATCAAGCGGAGACGACCAAGTCGGACGAACAAAAAAACACAAACTGGCTACTGACTAGGTGCACGCAAAGGGACAGTGGAGCGCTGGCCTAACCCATGCACAACAGGCAGTCATCGAGTCTTCCCCTCCGCCAGCGACTCCTCCAGCTCGCTCTTGGCCGAGGACGTCTCCCCGGAGTCCCCGGAGCCTGCCAGGGCGTCGCGGCGCCCGTCGCACGACGCCGCCGCCGCCAGCGTCGTCGATTTCGTCGCCGTCAATCTCGTCGTCGTTGGCGCCGTCGATTTGTCGTCGTCATCGTCGTAGTTGGAAGGGCTCAAGAGGCGACGGGAAGTGAACCTCTTGACCACTGAGCGGTCTGCGCAAGCCAACACAAACATTCGACGCGGATATTTCCAAGGGGGCACCTCATTCCCTAGCAGTTCCCGCTGGGAGTGCCTGCTAGTAGGAGAAAGTATTGGCGTGTGACGCCTGAGAGCTCCCTGGTGCCTCCCGTGGGAGTGCCCGAATGCTACGCGTGCTGTTTCAGACGTCCCCACGATATGGCCGCGAACGGACACATTTAACACCACCTGACGGCTCCCCCCTGGGGGTGCCCAAGCCCCTCCTCGGGGCACCCGAGCTCTATGTCTGCTACATCGCGGTGGTCGTGGAACACTAACCAGAGAGGAGCCACTAGTGGCAAGACCAGCGAACCGCTCGAGGCATCCTGACAATCTGAGCGCAAACGGACAAGTACAATACCTCCCGGCGGCTCATCCTTGGGGTGCCCGAGTGTTACGCTTGCTATATCGAAGCGATGGGACCTTCATCATGGTCAACATCTTTCTCTGCCCCCTTCATCATTGAGACTGGGTAACTCATCCCAATCCACCCTCCTCCAAGTCCACGCCCTTGTCTCTCCTCTCTCCGCCATCCCCCCCCTCCTCCAGCTCTTCCAGCACATCCGTCTTCTCATCTGCCTCATGACCCTTACATCCAAAGGATTTGATAACAGGAAGATTCAGCAAGCACTCGGGGATCGATTCGTGGCTTCCGCCATTCGGGGCATCGTGGCAGCTCGGCTGGCAGCGGCCTGGGGTGGCGTCGCGGCGCCGCACGCCTGCCGTTGACCCTGTGGGGAGGTGGCCTCACCGCTTCGCGGTAGCACTGCCCGGGTCTTGGCTCCTGCGGGGCCGGTGTCGCGCCGCGCCGCGTTGGTGTCGCGGTGTCGCCGCCTGCAAGGTAGCAAATTCCGGGCTCGCGGGCTCGTCCCGTGGTGCGGCCGCCGGCGGCCGCCTGTCGATTCAGGACGCAGGGCCGGCCTGTTCCTCAGGATCTGCGTGCCGACGGCGTGAAGTGGTCGCGACGTCGGAAGTCTGCGTCCATAGCCGTCGGTTCAGCATGGCTCAAGCCAACGAGAGCAAGCGCCAAAAACTCGCCACGGATGCCCCCACGAGGACCGCCCGGGTCTTGGCTCCTGCGGGGCCGGTGTCGTGCCGTGCCGCGTAGACGCTCCAGGGCGAGGTAGCAAGTGCCGGGCTCGCGGGCTCGTCCCGTGGTGTTGGCGGCCGCTGGCGGCCGCCTGTCGCACCCCTGGCCCTCCCGCCTGGTGCGGCGTCGTGTCCTCCGAGAGGCGCTGGCGCTGGGCTCCGTCGCGTGGTTAGGCCGCGCCCCAGCGCCAGCAGCGCTTCGAGTCACGCGCCCCAGACTGGCGCGGTCGCTAAGGAGGCTGCGTAGAATCCTGCGCTGCCATTTTCCGCCTCCGCCTCCGCCTCCTCCTCTCCTCCTGCTCCTCCTGCTCCTCCTCCTCCTCCTCCTCCTCCTCCTCCTCCTCCTCTTCATATTCCTGCATCGCCCTCCTGTCCTCTTCCTGATCCTCCTCCTCCTCCGCCCCTTCGTGCTGCTGCAGCCCCGATTCCTCCTCTTGCTACCATCCGTACCCCCCGTACTCCCCCTCACTGAAGTCCTCACCGTGCCTCTCCTCATTGCGTAACGAAACCCGCCCTCCTCTCTCCTCCATCACCTCGTCCTGCTCCACCGTTTCCTTCTGACCCTCCGGCTGTGCCTCCTCCGCTCTCTCCGACGTCGACGACGACCAACACCACCATCACGACGACGACCACGACAAAGGCCGCCACAATCACGTCACGACGAAGACGACCCGTCTATGGAGGTCTCCAGAATCCCAGGTCTCCAGAGATCTCCAGGTCTCCAGAGCCGCCAGGTGCCACCAGGGGCCACCGCGGTAAGAACCGAAGCTCGGCCCCCGATCGACCCCGATCGAAAGGGGGGATAGCAAATGGGGGGGCCGGCGAATCAGCTGCATACATCTGGCCTTCCCCGCAACACCCAGCGCCAGAGGGGGCCACGTATCGAAGAAAATGCATCCAGCTGCGTGCATCAAATTTCGCAGCTTCTCGTTCACAATCCCACGCTCCTTCGTACGGAAGGCGGACGTGGAGGGAGGGAGAGGAGGTGGCGAATGCGTCCAGACACATCGAAGTAAGATGCGAGAAGACCTCGAGACAACCGAGACCAAACACTCCTGACTCGTGTGGCGCCCTCAATCCCATGACGTCAGCTCGTGCTCGCCAGGGCATCGTCAGGACTGATGCTGGAGCCACCGCGGCGAGGGCGAGTGACCCGACCCGACACGACGACCCGTATGCCTCCGCTGAGACGAAGCCAGGATGAAGATACGTCCAGATTCGGATGAATCGGGAATCTCTAGAAGCCTGCGGGTTTGGAGGATGCATCGGGCGGCACGGCCATTTGAGAGAGATCCAGAACGCTCCGAGAGTGTTCTGGAACGCTCTGACACCGATCTATCCTCGCCCTATGAATGCATGATGCGACCCTGCCAAAAACGTTGATCCCAAGAGCCTCAGTGTCAAATCGTCCGACCAGAAACTCGACAACGACGACCGCGGCGAGGGCAAGGTCGGACGAAAGGGAGGTCAATCAAGGGAGGGGAGAGAATCAGCTGCACGCAATGGGTTTTCCCAGCAAGAGGCGGCCCGTGAACCGAGGAAACGACGACATGGCGGCGGAGCTGATATCGGCTGCACGCAGCAGGCTTCGTGAACCCCCTGTACCAATTCCCCCATCAGGGGAAACGATAAGAGGGGGACTGGCTCAGGGGGGACAACATTAGAAGGATACATCGCTCAGGGGAATTAGCCCATAGAGAGATACATCGTCGATAGATCAGCGATCGGCCAACGATAGCCTCACGCTACTGGACGGGGTAGGCTATCAGGCCCCCGTCAGCGATGAATGGACGAGGGGGGTCAATGCGCTCCTCCCTTGAGCTCATACCCCTCCCCTGTCGCTACCCGTTGGCTTTCGGGTCATAACTCGGCTCTCCGGTGGCGTTCGAGGCGATCCGGGCACGCCTCGAACGCTCTCGGCGAGGCGCACCTTCCCGAGACCATCCCGAGGCCGAAACAAACACAGCCGCAGACCAAGAACGACGCCCGAACACCTCGATGCTCGGGCCTCGAACCCCTGGCGTTGCCTCGGAGAGGCAGCGAGCCCCCCCCTGCTGTTGCCCCTGCGTCTGACACGTCACGGCCACGGCGCGAGCCATCAGCGCCCCACAAACGGGGACTCCAGTAACGGGTACTTTGGCTAGTGACCCAGCGAACCCAACCCTTCCCGATGCGGGCAACGCTGCATTGCCAGAAAGAGGCCCTAAAGTGGCAACTTTCGGCAAAATTGCAAAGTACCCGTTAGTAAGTACCCGTTACGGTGCCGTTGAAGCCAGGAGCGCGCGCGCGCGCCGGGCGCGCCGGGCGCGCCCGCCACCGCCGCCGTCGCGCCCGAGGCCCCGAGGCTGGGCACCTGCGGAGGCCGCGCGAGGGCAGGGGGGGGGGGCAGCGGCTGGAGGCCTGGGAGGTGGCACCAGCACCGGCACAGGCAGCCGCCTCCACCGGGGGAGCTGGCGGTAATCTCTCACCCACCTGAGAAGCCCGAGTATTACCGCCAGCGCCACGATCAGGATCGTCTCCCCTCGGTGGAGGTGTTCGCCGATACTGGCGTTGGTGCCGACCTCTGGGCCTCCGACCATGGGGAGGGGTGGAGAAGCGGAGGGGGGGCGGAGGCGGCAGGGGGACAAGACGCGCAAGACAAAAAGCCCTTGGACCCACAGGATGCCAACATCGACGGAAAATAAAGAGAGACGAGGGGGAGGAGGAGAACCAGTGCAAACCCAAGACGCATCAACGGCGTTGCAGTAATTCCTCCCTCCCAATTCACCTTTCATACATTCCATTGCGGGAACTGCCCCATTGAATGACAACACATTGCAAATCCTCAATCGTACCCAAAAGCGCAATTCCTGCGACTGTAATGCCGCGAGTCAACATGACTGCTGCGTCCGAACAACCCTAAGTTGTGCCACGACACAACGAATCAACACGACTGCTGCGTCATGGACATCCAACACGACGCCAGAACACCATTCTTGGGGCCTCAACAATTCGAATCCTTGGAACCGTTCCGAACTTTTAATACGAATGTGCGCGGCGCTACGGAACCGCAATGCATCCTTGGAGTTGTTGCCAACCTGTGAAACGAATGGGAACGACGCTGAAACGCGAGCCGCCTTTTGAAAACAACCCGCCCACCATCCTTTAACCTGTTGCTAACGTTTGGAACGAGTGTGCATGGCGCTGATGCGAGAAACACATCTTGAAGAGAAACAACCTTTCATCCTCCAAACTGCTTCACAATTGTGTGACGAATGTGCGCGGCGGTGAGGAGGGAATCGCATCTTGACACCGCCCGCCCACCATCCGTTAAGTTGTGGCAAAATTCAATTTGCAGGATCACAGGTGGTGAAGATGTCTCAAACACAAAACCTGGCCCGCCTCACCGACATGCCCGGGGGTTCGACAGGGAGGGATTGTCTATCTGGCAAAATGATGAAAGAGGATGAGGAGGAGGATGAGGAGGAGGAGGAGCAGGACGGAGCAAGGGGGAGAAGGAGTGAGAGGAGGATGAGAGTCATGAGGGGCAACGATAGGGGTGGACTGGCATATAGGGTGGGGGAACATCTGCCTTGAAACGACGATCTATCGCCGACAGATCGGCGATAGGCCCACGATAGCGAGTCCGCAAGCTCCTGGGCAGGTTGGGGCTGTCGGGCCCCTGTCGGCGATCAATGGGCGATTGGGGGTCGATGCGTCCACCCGAGTGCCTATCCCCCCCGCATCGTTGCCCCCGAAGTGAGGAGGGCGCAAGGAGGACATACTATCATTGCATATTGGACATGATGGGCAGGACGCGGAGGCTGCTAAGAGTGCGAGGAGAGGCAAAAACAAACTGATCATGCGGACGCCCCGGCCTGTCGGTCGGCTGGGCCTTCGACCGCGGAAGCTTATGCAGCTGACTGTAGTCACAAGTCCTCTCCATGTCTCTTCCTCCTTCGAGTGAGGCTGACATTAAGGCGACTCCAAAGGGGTGGCGACTGCTTTCGTGTACGCTCCCACAACATGTCAATTTTCCTGTGCACGATTCCCCCCAAAGACGGGCACGTTCCAAGTCGCTGCCGAACGGAACGCTCTGGGAAGCGAAAGACCGTCCCTGACTGGCGCCCAGTATCTTACCCCTGCTGGGGAAACTCGCAATTTCGACTTGTTCTTTGAGCCCGCTGGATGCAGTAGAGGCCGCGCTGCCTCCCCTGCCTCCAGACGCTGTCGGCGACGACGACAAGCGGCGCCCGCGAAGAGATGGCGCACCAAAGAAGGAGGAGGGGAAGGTGACGATGGAAATTGGTGGGCATGCTCGGCCATCGCTGGGGCCTCAGAAGGCGTCCGGGGGTTCGGGGCCCGCCGGCGCCGTCGCGGTAGCGAGCTGGCCTCTTGTTGGCCCCTCATGCCCACAGCGTCTACGATCAAGGTCAATGCGGAAGCTCCCCTCTATCTCTATATCTCGCTCTCTCACTCTCTCACTCTCTCTATATATGCATGTTTATATATATATATATGTATCCCGTTCTCTCTCTCTCTCTCTCTCTCTCTCCCTCCTCGATCTATATATATATGTATGTGTACATATATGTGTTTCCTTTTTTTTTGTTGTCTCTCTCTTTCTGTCTCCTCTCTCTCTCTCTCCCACTGTCTCTCTCTCTCTCTCTTTCTCTCTCTCTCTCTCTCTCTCTCTCTTTCTGTCCTATCCCCAACGCCCCCCCTGCCCCCCCCCCTCCCCCGCGCGCCCCCCCTGCCAGAAAAGGTTATTGCACCGCTTCCGCTGGACACCAAACTGGCCAAACCGCCGATTGAATCCGCGATCTTTCACCGGGCTGAATGACATATCTCGCGCGCGCCTGCGCGCGACAATGCGCGCGCAAGCGCGAGCGCGCGCGCGTGCGAATATCCGCGCAATACTGGCGTGGCGCGGGGGCCCCAGCAGCGCGCGACGCTCGAGCAATCGCCGTCGCCGTCGCCGACGGACGCTCGTCGCCGCCGCGCCGCCGCCGAGCCCCGCCCGCGCGGCGCGCGCATGTAAGTGTAGATGCGCGCGCAAATGTGGCCCCGAGAATGTCCCGGCCCGCGCGCGGTCGGCCCACCGCGCTAACCGCAGCGCGGGAACGGCGCTGGCATCGCTTGCGCCACAGTGACTCCAGGCCATATACGCCGCGCGGAGCCTTCGAGATCACGTCGCCCATCCGCATGCAGAGGGGTCGGTTGGAGCCGCAGGGGCGCGCGCGCCCCCCAGAAGGCCACCCGGCCCTTCCGTGCAATTCGCTACACTCTATTACATGTTCTGGCGGGGATCTGCGCGAACAGCGGCGTCGCGACGCGCTTCCGAATGGGGGCCGTCGCTGCAGCGGGCTCGGCCTTGACCGCGGGCCCGCCCTCGACCTCGCTGGGCTCGCGCCCCCCCCCCCCCCCCCCGACCCCCCCCCCCCTCGCTGCCGGCGTCCTCGCCGTCGGTGGCGGGGCGCCAAACCCCCGCAGGCTTCTTCGCCGTCTTCATCGCCGCGAGGGGTCTCTCAAGCGGCAAGCCCTGACCCTCGGCTTCTTATGTCGCGAGCCACGTCTCGCGCGCGGCGCTCGGCACCTCCGCCCCCCTGTCGTCGCCGCCCGCGCCGGCTGCGCGCGCGCCGTCGGGCCCCGGCACCATTGCGCACCGCGCGGTCGTCGCGCCGCTCTGCCCCATCAGGAGCGCGCGCGCGTAGTCGACGGTGAAGAGCTCGAGCTTCTCGTTCTGCCGCTCGCGGCGGCGGCGGCGGCGCCGCCGCCCGGCGACGACGCGGCGTCGACGGGGTGGCCGCCGCGTGGCCCCAAGACTTCTCCCTTCGCCGCGTTCAGCGGGGCGCCCGCGGGAGCCCTCGCACTCCGCGCCTTGCAGATCGACCCCGGGCTCGTTGCGGGCCCGCCGGCCGCGGCAGCGGCGCCGGCAGCTCGACGCGATCGCGGCGGGGATTTGCTCCCGTTGCGGCCCTTCGCCTGCGCCTTCCTGCTCCTGCTTGGCTGCGGCCCCCTAATCTCGCCGATCTGCTTCGCTGCGGGGCGCCGCTGCGACCCGTCGACGGCGCCGCCCCGCGCCCGGGGGCGTTCGAGAGAGCGGCCGAGAGCAATCTCGCAGACGCGTCGGCGCCGCCCCCGGGCGCGCCGAACTCCCGGATGGGCGCGCCCCGCAGTTGAGGCTCAGATATCCACTGCGCGGTCTGGACGGCGCCGCCTAAGGGCGCCGCGCCCGTGGCGACGGCGTCGCCCACGCCAGTCCTGAAACCTTCATCGCTGGCATCTCCTTCTGGCACGGCGCCGCCAACTTCCCGCGCCCCCCGCCGCGGCCGCTCACAGACAGCGCGCGAACGCAGGCGACGCGGTATCCGACGCGCGAATCATGGAACGATCGGCTTGCACAGGGGCGGCGTCAAATCGCGAGAGCGATTCCCTGCGCCCCCCCTGCCCCCTCCTGCGCAGGAGGCGCGGCGGGCCCGAAGCGAGCGACGTCGCGATGCTTCAGCCGCGCGTTGGACAAGCCTGTTTGCGTCAAACAAAGAGAAAAGGCTGCTAGACTATTAAGGAGCTACGCAGCCAATTGATGCCGATTGGGCCCTCCCAGTCGTGGGGGGCGGGCTTCGGGCGCCTGCGAGGTAGCGTCGCTGCCGATATGTCGGCGCGCCCGACTGCCCGAGCTGTGGAGCGCACTGTGACGTTGCCCAGGTCTCGAAGCACAACGCTGGAGGAAAATGAATCAACGCGGCACCGGATGCGCTCCGCCCCGCGCGCCGCCGGCCCGTGAATTGGGGGCCGCACGCCGATAGAACGCATGCGTTTCCCTTTGGTGCCGCCGCGAGCCGATTTGTTCGTTTTTGTCAAACCTCGCAAATTTGCAACCCGCTCTCCTGATATTCGCGGGCTACAAAAGTCTGATCACGGGCCTGCGTGGGAGGCCGTCTCGTTCGCGCTGCCCCAAAAAACTCAGCGCGGACCTCCGGGGAGCTATCCGGGCCGAGCCAGACGACCGTAGGAGGCTTTGGAGAAGCCGTTCGGGCCGAGCGCATCAGAGCCCATCGGAAGCGCACCTGGCTCCACGCGCGGGACAATCGGCGGGGGGGGGCGCAGAGTCTGCGCGGAGGGAGGGAGCTCGCGCGCCCATCCAAGGACCCTCTCGAAGCTACGGGCACGGCTTTGACTAATCATGTTAAGGCTTTTAGACGGGCGACGCAAGCCTACGCGTCATTCGGTCAGGAGCAAGGCCGCACCCTGACGCCTCCACAGAAAGCTGACAGCCACGTGAGACCAGCGATTGACGAGTTTCAATGTAGGCGCGCTGAGCCCTACCATATCCTGTCGCACGCTCTTGGCAGGCTCATCTGAACACGCAAGTAGTGCATGAACAGCCCAAGAAAGATAGCATGTTAGACAAGCTCCCCGCCTTGCCATGTCTGGCCCGCTCGATCGAGTGGGCCAGTAATCCACAGTTGATGTTTGGCCTCTGAGACGGGTGGCGACGCGTCTATTCCCAGCCTTTCTCACCGTTCAGCTTCCTACCCTTGCGCTGGTCAGGAAGAACCTGAAGATGAAGAAGATGGGGGCCCTCGGGAAGGCTCGCCCGTTCCACAAGGGGCGGTTCAACACAAACGGGATGTTGAGGATAACGGCTTGCAGTTGGAGGTCCCTTCGGGACCCCGCTCTCGGTCGGTTCGACCTGGAGCCGAGCTTGCCTTTGTTAGCAATGCGCGTGCCCACGACGCGGAAATGTCACAGGATGCCGTTTCGCAGCTTCGCATCCAGCCAAGAGAAAGCCCCGCCTTTGCCACTTACTTGGTCACTTCCAGCACTGAGAGGAAACGCCTTGATACTGTCTAGCATGAGCGCCCCTCGCTCTCCCTGGCCGCCATCTCAGCCCAAGCGTTTGCTTACGTTTGGTTCATCGGGCCCGAGGCGGCTCGCGGATACAGGTGTTGGGTGTCATCGGGCCAAGTCGTGTTATGTGTTCGAACCGGCTTCTGTTCCACAGGAGTTGCGGGGCACTTGTTTTCGGGGTGCATCTTGTCAAAACGCGCACGCATGAGTGAACGTGCTGTGCGTAACCGACGGTTGTTTTTTGAAGGGGTGCATGGTGCATCCAACGGACGAAAGTACTCTCCGAACGACGGATGCCAACCCCAAGGCCTTCGTATATACATGAGTACAAAACAAACATATATATATATACACATACCTCAAACTGTGTTTAACTCAACTCGTCTAGTTTTTGGCTGCGATGCCGGCTGGAACGACGAGGGCGGCGCGTGCGCCCACGCGCGACGCGCGTCTCCCTTGGACACCGTCGGCGCTGAGAAATGCCCCGCTCGCCACCGCCGCCGCCGCTTGTTTCTGTTTGCTGCAGCGGCCCCGTTATATTACAGGTGGGGTTCCCGCACGTATCAAGCCTGATGTGATGCTACCGCAGGCCCTCCCTCATCTGTGCCAGCCTTGTTGCCCTGACGCTCGCGGCTGCGCCAGTTCAGAGTCTTATTTTCCCCCTCCTTCCTTCGCCACCTCCTACCCCCCCTTTTCCTCCACCTTTTCCTTCTCCACCTCCTCCTCCTCCTCCTCCTCCTCCTCTTCCTCCTGTCCTCCTCGTCCCTTGTCACCTTCTGGGGGAAACGAGAAAAACCGAGACCGCCAATCCACGGACCTCTACCGGGGCGCGCTCTGACCAGAATTTCGAAAAAAAATCCGGCCGTGGCGACGAGGGCTCTCCAGGCGGAGCAGCGGTATCAGTATCTCTTCCTGCTCTGACCTGCCCCCTCCTGCCCCCTCCACCTCCAACTCCCTCCCCTTCTCTCCTTTTCCCTCCTCTCCCCTCCCTCCCTCCTCGTCCGCCCCGCGGCGGCGACGCCGGCGACGTGGCGGCAACGGCGGCGACCAGGCGGGCGCGCTTCCGTAGCAGTCTCCGCCGACTCGCCCGCCGTCTGCACGCCGGAGCTGCCCGTGTCCGAGAACACGGGCGTGCCCACGGACTGGCGGGCCCACGGGCCGGGGCCCTCCTGCCGTCCACCAGGGCACCCTCGAGATGCAGCGGAGAGGTGGGGTCTAGGGCTCCAATGCTGATGTGTCGCGATGCGGCGATTTCAGTTGGCAGCGCCGGGTATCTTGAGCAGGGACCGACGACCGACGGCCCCGGCATTCCTGTAGGCCTACCACGACATGTTCCTAGAACCCCCAAATGCTCTAAGAACTGAAGCAGTGCTCTTAGAACGTGAGCCGGATGTGGTAAAGCAGGACAGCCGCAGCCAGAAGTGTTCCGAGAACACTTCGCGGAAACCACAACCGGTTCTTAGAACAGGGTACGGTGGGCCTATAGGCGAGCCAGGACGCTTCGACAGCGCTCGAGGGTCCGAAGCGAGGAAGCGCGACGACAACACCGCCAGCGCGAAGAGCCATGGCGGGGGCTCCTGAGACCTCTCCTGTCCCCAGCTCGGGGAGGCATCGTGGACCGCCTCGCTCCGGAGGTGGCACCCCCTGGCGGTGGTGTCGTTTTGTCCTGTTCTCCGACGACAGGGTCCACGCCCGACTCGGGCGGATCGATTTCTCCGATCCTGCACTGTTCCTCGGGTTTCGGCCTCCAGGGTCTGTCTCGGAGCCCCAGGGCCGTCAGAAGCTGACACAGGACAGAAAAATGTCCCCGCGGCGAAGAGGTCGAGACCTCTTGGCCCGCGGTTGCGACAAACATACGCCCGAAGCCTGCGGAGTGGGGGGCCCTCCATCAAACGAGGAGGGGCGAGAGGAGGAGGAGGAGGAGGAGGAGGAGGACGAGGAGGAGGACGAGGATCGGCGGCGCGCACCAGGGAGTAGGGGGAGGGGGGAGGGGGGGAAAGCTTTTTAGAAGGACGCCGCTGCTTGGAAGGCGCCGGCCCTACACCTACAGGCACGGCCCGCGCCTTCTGAAAAGTAGGGATGCATCTAAGAAGCGTTCCCCCTGCCCCTCCAGTCGGGGCGTTGACCTAAGGAACCCTAAATAAGGAACGGGGCCCCTTGTTCCAAAAGGTAAACTTCGATTTCCCATGAAAAACCTCAGGAAAACCCTGGGCAAACTGTAAAACAATCAAGGAACACCAGGCCCCTCCCCATCGAAAAGGGTTCCTTCTTCAGCGCCCCGACTGTACCCCCCCTCTGCGCGCGGCCGGCCAGGGGGAAAGGGGGGGGGGCCAACTGGCTGCCTGCAGCTGGCTTTCCCTGCGCCCCCCTTGGCGCGGGAGGCGGCCGCGTGTCGAGCTGGCGGCGGTGCTGACGGCAACTCTGCGTGCGGCGGACTGCGGAACCCCACCCTTCCCGAGGGCATCTTTCGAGGATCTGCTGGCCCGGGTCAGTGAGAACCCGGGCCAGTCGGGCTTTGCAGGATCCTGCAAGATCCTGCGGGATTCTGCAGCATCCTGCACGCTTGCCTGGGTCAGTGCACCATGGGCCCTGCAGAATCCTGCAAGACTTGGCGCCATGGCTGACCCCCGTTCGCATTGACGGCTCAAGGCTCCCGACCCTTCCTGTGGTCGTCCGCTCCGGCCAGCTCTCCATCCTGAGCTGCCTTTGACGGAGCCGTGGCCCAGAAGCCGCCCCCAGATATCGAAGGACCCTGGGGGTCCCCTGAATCCTCTCCCCCAGAACCCCAAAGCACCCGCCGCCGGTGGGCGCAGGAACGCCCCAAGAGAGCCCCAAGACGAGCCCGAAACCGTCCGAAAGGACCTGGGCCGCCGCAAGATCGTTCCAAGACGCCCAAGATGGCCTCCAGACGGCCCAAGCCGCCGCCAAAAAGCCCCAAGAGAGCCTCAAGAGGCCGTCCAAGAGAGTCTCAACAACCAAAAAACGTTTCATTTCCTTGCGAGCGCGTGCACGTTTCGCACTTGCGACTCTTAGGGGGTTCAGAGCGTCCAGTACTGTCCAAGAGACCCCCAAGATCGCCCCAAAACGGCCCAACAGGCCCCCTAAGATTGGCCGAAAACAGCCGAAGAGGGCCCCAAGACGGCCCAAAAGGCGCCCAGGACAGCCCAAGACGGCCCCAAAAAGGGACCAGGAGGGGCCCAAAACGGCCCAAGGGGCCCCCAAGACGGCCCAAGAGGCGCCCAAGAGGGGGAACGCGATGCGAAAATCCGAGCCTTCAGCCCCCAAAACACCCCAAGAGGTCTCCAGGAGGATCCCGGGAGGCCCCCAAAAGGCACAACAACTACGCTTCAGACGTTCCGGAGAAGCCTCCCGCGAGACCCCGTCAGCCATGCGACTGGCCTCAGACCCACACAACCACGCAGCCCCACGAAACCTCCCACAAAAACTTCTTGACGATGGATGACCTTCATCGACTTCAATCGAGCTTTCCGCCCTAAAGTACAACTCCGAGACCACCAACAAACCCCCAAGAAATCCCCGAGAGGCCCCAAGAAACCCCCAAATGCTCATGAATAACCCCCCAGGGCCCCCAAACGGCCCCCAAGAGACCACAAGAGGCTTCAAACTTGCCCCCCAGAGACTCCCGAAACGACCGCCAAGAGACCCCAGCAGCGCCGCATTGACAACGATCCCTCGGGCAAACGGCAGAGATGAGGCTACATGGGTTGGCGGAGTGAGCGAAGCGATTCAATCAGAGCAAGGGGGCCGAACGGTCATTCACTGCCCCTGGGTGCGTGGCTGAAGTGGAATTCCGGCTGTGCGGATTATTGTTGTTGTTTGTTGTTGTTGTTGTTTGTTGTTGTTTGTTGTCGTCGTCCCACCCGCAACCCGCCCCGCGATCCACCCGCGACCCAGGCCGCGATCCACCCCGCGACACACCCGCGACCCACCCGCGACCCACCCCGCGACCCACCCCGCGACCCACCCCGCGACCCACCCCGCGACCCACCCGCGACCCACCCCGCGACCCGCCCGCGGCCCACCCCGCGACCCACCCGCGACCCACCCGCGACCCACCCGCGACCCACCCGCGACCCACCCGCGACCCACCCCGCGACCCACCCGCGACCCACCTTCGACCCAAACCACGTTCAAGGTACAAACCACAATTTTCGGCGCCTGCGGCGGGCATTTTTTGCATTCCTTCCAAGTGGAGAGCCCGCGACCCACCCCGCGACCAACTCGCGACCAACCCGCGACCCAAACCACGTTCAGGGTACAAACCGCATTTTTCGGCGCCTGCGGCGGGCATCTTTTGCATTCGTTTCAGGCGGAGAGCCCGCGGCCCACCCGCGACCACATTCAGGGTACAAACCAATTTTTTCGGCGTCTGCGGCGGGCATATGTTGTATTCGTTCCGAGTGGAAAACCCGCGGCCCACCCGCGACAAACCAATGTGTTTGGCGCCTGCGGCGGGCTGTTTTTGCATTCCTTCCAGGTGGAGGTGGAGAGCCCGCGACCCACCCGCGACCAAACCACGTTCACTGAACAAACCAATGCCGCACAAGCGCGGCGGCGGATTTTTGCATGCCGTCTGAGCCCGCAAGGACCTCTTCAAGCCCCGCGCATCCACGCCAGCCCGTCCAGCAACTTTGCCCTGGCGAGTTGCCTTGATCAGAGAAGTCGGGGAGCATAAAGTGGAAAAAAGGATTGCGTTGCCGTTATCTTGGGAAAGGAGGGGGAGGCAGGAGGAGTAAACAGGGGACGAGGAGGACGCGGAAGAAGAGAGGATGTAAGGAGAATGTGGAGAAGAGGAGGAGGAGCAGGAGGACGAGGAGGGGGAGGAGGGGGAGGAGGGGGAGGAGGAGGACGAGGAGGGGGAGGAGGGGGAGGATGATGATGATGGACGACAATGGGAGGACGATGATGGAGGCCGATGAGGGGGAGGACGACAATGGGAGGACGATGATGAAAGGACGAGGGGGGGAGAGGGAGGACGAGGAAGAAGAGGAGGAGAACGAGGTGGTGGAGGAGGATGACGATGACGATGACGATGACGATGAGGACGAGGAGGAGGAGGAGCAGGATGAGGAGGAGGAGAAGAACGCCATCGACAGGGAAGGTGGGGGCCACGAAGTCCGCCGGCTCGACGACGCCCGCGTCGCCCGCGCCCGCCCCCTCACTCTTACCCGCAATTGCGGCGGGGTGCTAGGTAATCATCTCTCCCAGAACCCCAAAGCACCAGCCGCCGCTGGCCGCATCCTCCTCCACCTCTTGACCTGGAGTCGGCAACACATCCCCGATAGATCGGCGATGGGCTCTCGATAGCGAGACCGAACGTTCATGGGCGAGGTGCTCAATCGGGCACCTATTGTTCTTGAATTGGCGATTGGGGCTCGATGCATCCCCTCGTGAGCCGATCCCCCCCCTGACGTTGCCTCTTGGCTTTGGGGTCATAACTCGGCTCTTCGGCGGCCGTTCGGGACGATCTGGGTACTCCCAAAACGCTCTCGGCAATACGCAGCTGCCAGCGAGCACCCTGAGGCTGGAAGGTCTCCAGGCTCAGAAAAAAGCCAGAAGAAAACCTCGAAGATCGAAACCGACACTTCCCCCCCCGTTCCTCCTCCTCCTCCTCCTGATCCCCCTCCTCCTCCTCATCATCGTCATCATCATCAGCAGCATCATCATCATCATCATCCTCCTCATCATCCTCATCATCACCATCATCATCATCCTCTTCATGATGATGATGATGATCATCATCATCATCATCAGCATCATCATTATCAGGATCATCATCATCATCGTCAACATCGCCATCTTCAGTGTCACAATCATCATCAACATCCAAATCACCATCATCACCATCATCATCATCACCATCACCATCATCAGCATCATCATCAACATCAGCATCACCATAATCATCATCATCAGTATCATCAGTATCAGCATGACCATCATCATCAGCAGCATCATCAGCAGCATCATCATCATCAGCATCATCATACTCAGCATCATCAGTTTCATCATCATCAACATCATCAGCAGCAGCATCATCATCATCAGTAGCATCATCAGGATCAGCATCATCATTATCAGCATCATTACCATCAACAGCATCATCTTCATCCGCACCCTCACCATCACATAATCATGATCATCATCACCAGTAGTATCGTCATCACCATCATCATCATCACCAGCAGCATCATCAGCAGCATCCTACTCATCCTGAACATTATCAGCAGCATCGTCATCACCACCATACTCATAATCATCATCAGCATCATCATGACTACCACCATCATCAGCATCAGCAGCATCATCATCATCATCATCATCATCACCATCATCATCAATCACCACCACCAGCATCAGCACCTGCATCATCATCCTCATCCTCATTAGCATCAGCATCAACATCAGCAGCCGTAGGATCATCATCAGCTGCAGCAGCATCATGGTCATCATCAGCAGCAGCATAGTCATCATCATTACCATCATCATCATCATCATCATCATCATCACCCGCCTCGGCCTCCCCCTCCTCCTCCTCCTCCTCCTCCTCGTCATCATCATCAACATCATCAACATCATCACCATCACCATCATCGCCATCACCATCACCATAATTATCATCATCAGAAACATCATCAACAATATCATCATCCTACTCATCCTCATCATCGCCTCATCAGTATTAGCATAACCATCATCATCAGCAGCACCGCCATCAGCAGCAGCGTCGTTAGCAATATCAGCATACGCAGCATCATCCTCGTCATCAGCAGCATCATAATCAGCAACATCAGCATCATCATCATCACTCGCCTCAGCCTCCCCATTCCTCCTCCTCCTTCTCACCCTCATCCTCGTCATCATCATCAGCATCATCAACATCATCAGCATCACCATCATCGCCATCACCATCACCATAATCATCACCATCATCAGCATCAACATCAACATCATCATCACCATACTCATCCTCATCATCGCATCATCCGTCTTAGCATAACCATCAGCATCAGCAGCAGCATCATCAGCAGCAGCATCATTAGCAACATCAGCATAATCACCATCTTCGTCATCATCATCAGCATCATCATCATCATAACAGCATCATTAGCATCATCATAATCAGCATCATCATCGTCAGTAGCATCAACATCCTCATCATCCTCATCATCATCAGAATCACAGAAGCATGATCTTCATCACCTGCATCATGACCATCATCACTATCATCACCATCTTCATCATCCTACCCATCATCAACATCGACAGCATCATCATCATCATCATCATCAGCATCATCATTACCATCATCATCACCCGCCTCAGCGTCCCTTTCCTCCTCCTCCTCCTCATCCTCATCCTCGTCATAATCATCATCAACATCACCATCATCATCATCAGCATTATCAACATCACCATCACCATAATCATCATCATCAGCATCATCATCAACAACAGCATCATCATACTCATCGTCATCATCGCATCATCAGTAGTATCATACGCATCATCATCAGCAGCAGCATCATCAGCAGTAGCATCATCAGAAACATCAGCATTATCAGCGTAATCATCGTCATCAGCATCATCAGCATCAGCATTATCATCAACATGCTCATCATCCTCATCATCATCCTCATAATCACATGAGCATGGTCATCATCACCAGCATCATCACCATCACCATCATCACCATCATCATCACCATCATCCTACCCATCATCAACATCGACAGCACAATCATCACCAGCAGCATCATCGTCATCATCCTACTCAGCATCATCATCATTACCATCAGCATCATCATCAGCGGCACCATCATCACCACCATCAATCATCACTATCATCATCATCAGCACCTGCATCATCATCCTCATCCTCAACAACATCAGCATCAACATCAGCAGCAGCATAATCAGCAGCAGCATCATCGTCATCATCAGCAGCAGCATCAGCATCAGCAGCAGCACCAGCATCATCATCATCATCATCATCATCATCATCATCATCATCACCCGCCTCAGCCTCCGCCTCCTCCTCCTCCTCCGCCGCCTCCTCCGCTGCTGTGGCTTTGCCCCTCAATGAGGGCAGGAAAGCCCAGAATCAAATCGATAAGGTGGACCGGCGATCGAAATGAATCGGATCGGCGGAACTCGGCAACCCCGTCGAGAGAAGTCGAATCGGCGGAGATCGGAAGACTAGTGAGACCTCCATTGAGAAATCGGGAGCCCATCGGAATTCGAAGTCGAACCGGAGTCGAATCGGAACTACACCGAGTCGGAGGAGTTGAAACGAGCGCTGTCAGGCGGACGCACGC